AAATAGAAAGCAAGAGGAGTATAAACAGGGGCCTGGAGACATGACTGATGAACAGAGAAAATGTTATTTTAGTGTCAGGAATGTCTGCATTGTTCATTATGGAACCTATTTTGAAATTGACATTTTTTTTAATTTGCATGAAATTGGCCAAATTGCCAATTTCTGACCACTTTATTAGGTAGTTGAAATCAGTAAATGGGCAGTTTCTTGTACTCAGTTGATAGAACAAATGGAGTTCTAAAGAAATAGCAATGAGTTTGGTGGACTGTACCAATGGAATTGACCAAAAACAGGGCTCAAAGTGGGCGAAATTGCCAATGCGTAAATGTCGCCGAGGTCGCTAGCTTTGCTAGAGCATAATTCTGTAAGTTTTCCATCAAATTTCATACTTTTGGTGTCATAACTATAGGGGAAAAGATTATCATTTCACAAGAATTTTTTTTTTTTTTAAATTGCGACACCAGGAGATACCTCAGGATTTGGGGTAGCGACAGTCAAAGGGTTAATAGATTGGAATATATATTACAGAAATAGAGATGATTTCTATTGGTTTTATGACTGAAAATAGCTTGAAATTGAGCTCAAATTAGCAGAAATGTTTGATTTTTGCCAATGTTCAAGAGTAAACAAATCACATCACGCATCCAATGCACATCAACTGGTGGGTCTGATATATTTATGCGATTGTTACAGTATTGCACAGCAGTTAATCTTCAGTTTTCCAGTGTGAATAAAAATTAGTTATGGACACATAACTAATGAACAGAAGAAATGTTATTTTAGTGCCAGGAATACCTGCATTGTTTATTCTGGACCCTGTTTTGAAATTTTTGTGAAATTAGCCAAATTACGAATTTCTGATCACTTTATTGGGTAGTTGAAATAGTTGATTGGGCAGTTTTTTTTATGCTCAAACGATAAATGGAGGACATGCTAGTGAAATAGCTAAGAGTTTTATCGACTCGAACAATGTAATTGACCTAAAATAGGCGTCAAAATGGGAAAAATTGCTGATATGTAAATATCGCTGATGCAGTGATAATTCAATAAATTTTCTACGAAATTTCTTACTTTTTGTTTTATTACCTTCAGAAAAAGATTCTTTACATTTTTTTTTGTAAATTCTTGGACCCTGTAGACAAGTTTCGGATTGGGGGTCTGGAATCTGAAAGGCTTAATGTCTAAGGAACGGAGAGAGTTGTTGAGATTAGAAAGACTGGAAATGTAGGAAAGGCAGAGAACGGATTTCACAGGAGTAGAGAGTCTGAGAGAGAAAGTCTGTGTAACACGTTAGAGATAATGAAATTGGAAGGGTAGCCAAGATGAGAGAATGAATTACAAAGAGTGGAAATCTCTGAGTCAAGGAACTCTGGGTCACAAATGCGGAGGGCATGGAGAGAGAGAGAAATAAGAACACTTTTCTTGACAGAGGGAGCATGGTAAGAAAAGTAATGAATGTACATGCCACTGTGCAGAGGCTTGTGATAAATGGAAAAAGAAAAGCCTGTAGGTGAGTGGTGGACATGTACATCAAGGAAAGGAAGCAAAGAGATACCCATTCCACTTTAAACTTGATGAAAAGAGCAGAATTGTTAAGGATATTGAGAAATGGTTCGAAGAGATTAGAGGGCCAAAGAGCAAAGATGTCATCTTAATAGCGGAGCCAGAGTGAAGGGCGCACACCATTGATAGGAAGAAAAGTTTCAAAATATTCACATAAAGGTTAGCAAGAACACTGGTTGCAACATTCAGAACTAACAATACCCTGGCTACAACATTCAGAACTTGCAATACCCTGGCTACAACATTCATAACTAACTTACAATACCCTGGCTGCAACATTCACAACTAACTTATAATACCCTGGCTACAACATTCACAACTAACTTACAATACCCTGGCTGCAACATTCAGAACTGACCTACAATACCCTGGATCAAACATTCACAACTAACAATACCCTGGCTACATCATTCACAACTAACAATACCCTGGGTGCAACATTCACAACTAACCTACAATACCCTGGCTACAACATTCACAGCTAACCTACAGTATCCTGGCTGGAACATTAACAGCTAACCCAAAATACCTTTCTGGTACAATTCTCAACCAGTTAAATGATAAATGGAACACTTCATACTAACCCATAGTACCCTGGGATTAATCTGCCCAAAATGCCCCAGCATGAGAGTGGCTGTCTTTGTACTTAACACATCAAAATTGTAATTGCACATTGTAACCTTTGCAAAGAAATAAAATCTTTATCTATATACACTTCCTGGAACAATTGATAGCTTTTTCACAATACCATAGCTGGAACAATTCACAACCCACAATAACCTGGTTGGAACACTTCACAGCTAACCCACAAACCATACCTGGAAGAATTCACAACATGTTTGGAACTGCTTACATCTGACCTTGTGTTTTGGGTTCAAGCAGCAAGTTTGTAGTGTTTTCCAGGGTTATTTTTTATGGTTTTCTTGGCTATTTCTAGCTGTCAGTTGATAGATTAGCAGGCTCAGTATGACAAGATGATTTTAATCAGTTTGAGCCCTAAAATAGGCCTCAAAGGAGCAGAAATATTTAATTTTGGTGATATTCCTGTTTTATTTATTTATAATTTATTTTATTTATTTTATGTCTTTGCAAACAGTACATTGAGATCTTGTATTTACAATAGTGGGTTGCAATGCGAAGAGAGCCTCTATTATGCCTAGGCATTATGGGCCAACTTAACATTATTGGCTTATAGTCTACTTAACATTAAGGAGTAAGGTCTGCTTTAAATATACATCCTAAATCTTCCATTTTAATGTGATAGTGGATTCAAAATTGAGGACCAGTGTAATGTAGGAGATGCCTGGAGTTGTGATTACTGAACATTGAGTACCAGTGTAATGTAGGAGAGTTGTGATAACTGAACATTGGGTACCAGTGTAATGTAGATGCCTAGAGTTGTGATTACTGAACATTGAGTACCAGTGTAATGTAGGAGAGGACTGGAATTGTGGTTACAAACAGAGGAAAGGTTTGATTAGTGCATGGAATGTCTTCAGTGCTTATTTTGGACTCTGTTTTTAAACTGAAATTTACTGAATAAGCAATGCAATGGCTTACTGATTGCTTAGAGTATTTCTGGAGGGTGTTTTGGGGGTCAATGCTTCTTGGCTCGGTCCATGACCAGGCACAGTTTCTTATCCTCAAAGATAGAATGTAGGCATACTGTTGAAACAGCGAGGAACCGAGTCATTTTTATTGATGGAATTGACCTAAAATATGCTTCAAAGTGAGAAAAAGTGCTGTTGGGCAAAGCTCTCATTGGCCTCCAACTTTGCATCTCCATAACTCCATCAAGTTTGCAATCTTTTCATTTAGTGTAAATGACTTCGGAAGAAGATTCTCTTCTATTTCTGAAGATTTTTGTTTTATATTGTGACGCTGCCAATGCTTTTAATTTCAGGGATCATGATGGTGACAGAGTTCATAACTCACAAAACCATAGCTGGAACAATTCACAACTGAAAACCATAGCTGGAACAAATGACAACTCACAAAATCATAGCTGGAACAATTCACAACTCTCAAAACCATAGTTGGAACAATTCACAACTCGCAAAACCATAGCTGGAACAATTCACAACTCGCAAAACCATAGCTGGAATAATTCACAAAATCATAGCTGGAACAATTGACAACTAACAAAACCATAGCTGGAACAATTCACAACAAAACATAGCTGAACACTTCTCAACTAACCCACAAACCATAGCTGGAACAATTGACCCACAAACCACAGATAGTCAGTATGTCATCCTGCTAAGGGGAGGATCATTGATACCTGTGAAGTGCTCTTCATTCAAAGTATTGGAACTAGCCTCCCTTTCTTTGGATTGAACTTGGTTACTTCCCATTCCCCATCTGTTGTTTAACTTCTATGGGTTATTACATTGTTGTGGAAGCACTAAACCCTTAGAGGTCATACAGAGCACCTGAGGAATGGAAGACAGTCAGGCTTGATCTGAGAATCGGAAGATACCTCCGATTTGTTTAAATGAGAACCTGACCAGCATCAAGGCATTTACTTTGAAGGACACTATGGGTTTACAATTTCCCCATGAGTATAATAATAATAATCATAAAAATAATAATAATAATAATGGAGTGTTTTGATGTCTTATTGTTTCTACTTCACAGTTAATTGATGGAGCACACTGCCGTCCCCGACACGTTTGATATCAAGGTCTTTAAGAAGCATAACTGGACATACACATTTGTATCGTCGTTTGTTGCTATGACTTTTTCAACTTCATAAGTATCATACCAATATCTGGACGAGGCTTTCAATTAGCCAAGTGTTAGATTGCAGCGTCGACTAGACTTAAAACTGGTTAAGCATTACATTGTGGGAACAGTCTCATCTATATTGTGGTGCATTCTTGAAAACACATGATGGCAGTTAATGGAAAAAGCAAAGTGATTAGTTGTTCTGACTTGTCAGGGAAGAAACCATATAAATGTTCAGATTGTCAGAAATGTTTTGCCACAAAGGGAATCTTCTTACACATACGCGCATTCACACAAGAGAGAAACCATTCCATGTCTGGAGTGTGGAAATCATTCAGGCATAAAAACACACTTGTAGCGCATGCAAGATCTCATACGGGAGATAAACCGTTTCAGTCGTCCTCCGAGTGTCAGAAATATTTCAGTCCAAAAAGGCTATCTTACAACGCATATGAGAGTTCATACCGGAGACAAGCCTTATCAGTGTTCAAAGTGTCAGAAGCGTTTTAGTGTAAAATGCAGTCTTGAAAAACACATGAAGGTTCACACTGGGGAAAAACCTTATCAGTGTAAAGACTGTCTTAAATATTTGCACATAGAAGTTATCTTGTAAAACATATGCGGGTTCACACAGGAGAGAAACCATTTCTGTGTTCACTGTGTTTGAAATTGTTTTAGGGATGAAAGTACTCTTGCAAAAACAACGCATTCATACAGGATATAAGCCGCACCAGTGTCCACATTGTATGCTGTGTTTTACTGTAAGAGGCAATCTTGTAACTCACATGAGAGTTCACACTGGTGATAGACCATTTAAGTGTTTGGACTGCGAGAAGTGCTTTACGCAAATGAATGCTCTTGCCATTCACAGGCGCATTCATACAGGAAGTAAACCATTTAAATGTTCCGAGTGTATATAATGTTTTAGCTATAACATAGTCTTGTGGTACACATGCGTGTTCACTCCGGTGATAAACCATTCAAGTGTTCAGAGTGTCTGAAGTCTTTTAGACAAAAGGGCAATCTTAAAACTCACATGAGAGTCCATACAGGTGAGAAACCTTATGAATGCCCAGAGTGCCATAGACATTTTAGTGAAAGAGGCAGTCTTGTAAAACACACAAGAATTCATACAAGAGTTAAACCGTACGAGTGTTCCGAGTGTCAGAAATGTTTCAGATTTAAAAGGAGACTTGTAGAACATAAGCAAATTCACATAAGACACACAGCATATAAATGTACCAAGTGAGGGAAATGTTTTAGCTAAAAAGGTTGTCTGGGAAGACACATGCATGGTCATGCAAGTGTTGGTCAGAAAGCAAGTTATATAATTTTATGTTATACAATATAAATAACATATTAGAAAATAGGATTAGATTCTTTCCCTTTATAAAGATAAATATTTTTTTCAATTTTTTTATTTCAAAAATAATGAAGTTTTTGACACCTTAAATTTTAGATGCTGCTTGTTGAGCTATAAATTTATATACACAAAACCTCAGTCGAAGTTGTTAAATAACCTTAGTGAATTATTATAAAAAAAGAAGCGCTAAACCACAAGGGTCTAGACAGCACTGCAGGGCAGGAAGTGACGGTATCAGGTGGCAAAAGGGAAATGGATAAGTAATAGGTTACAGAGAACAGCGGGACAGTGGATGGTGAAAGGGTAGAGGGAAGCAAGAGATTGAGGTAGAAAGAGCTGAGGGGCACACTGCCAACAACTGCCTGCGAGATACCAGTGCAATTACTGCTACAAGAAAGGACATCAGGAGGACCAGTGTCAGAAGAAAAAGGAACTCGACAGACAGGACCACCTGTTTAGAGACCTGTTCTCAGAACAAACCAGCAGGATCTCTGAATTGGTGAACACTCACACGTCACCCACTCAGCTACTCCCATCCCAGCCCAGCAAGGGGGTATTGTGCCTTATGCAACACCACAGACCTACATCCCTGCAGCTGCCTCAGTACCCTACCTCTCTCAAGGGCAGGTACCTTACATGCCTCACAACCCCCCACCTCAAGCGACCACATCATCATGAGCCATCTATCAGCATCCGTCGGCCAAAATTAAGGGTTTTATTTCTAATTTGGAAGCTCACACACAGTTTTTTGAACACACATTCCGACATGAAGCTGTGAAAAAATTTTTGGATGACAGGCTCCAAAAATTTTGCAAGAATTGCTGGCTACAAACCCCATGGATGAGAAAAGACAGCAAGGGCAAAGGGGGAGATGTTGCTGTGCTTCTCTAAAATGTTTTAGCCACCCCTCACATCTTAAATGATGTTTTTTTTAAAACTCTCATAAACACTAGACCTCGACAGCATGTGCAATGTACGACCCAGTGCAAAACAGACCCCTCAACTTCCTAAAAGGGAAAAAATTTACCCCCTTTTGCTACAACACAAATGTCAACTATCATAATTGTTTTGGGGACCTCAACCAACACCTTATACAGAGGGGCTTTGAAGACATTCTTTCATGTTTACATGAGAAACTTTTTGTTTCCCTACTCACATCTCCTCCCCCTTTACCATGTGAGGATCTGGCAAAGGCATATCACTTGTCAACCCTCGGCATGTTGGATCGTCGACCACAAAGGCTGTTTTTTACACACTTAAGATCCCAACAGAATGAGTAGGGACCACATGCACAACCTGGGTATGGGGAAAAAGGGAATTGGCCACCCCTTCCCTCAAGCCGCCCCCACCATTGGGAAAGCCTTTTTCCCAAGGGGATGCTACAACCCAAATGAAACCTTCACTGGACACATCCTTAATCACAACAAGAACACTTCCTCACTGGCAAAGTGACGAAGCCTACAGATCAGCCTTGTTTGGCTTTTTGTTTAGAGAGGGGCCCCACGCAAAATACAAAGCATGGCAAAGGGATAAGAGAGATCCTACCACCTTACATAACTTCACAGGCAAGCACGTGGCATTGGGTGACGTTCAAAAGTGGCCCCTTTCTAAAAAGGGGTGGACACTAAAAGAAAGCTACATCAGGTAGGGGAGGCCCAAAACCTGGGACCCCGGTCAAGGACAGACAAGGGTTTCTGCCCGAGGAACTCATTTTCCACCTCTAAATCGACAGGGGGACCACCTCTGCTAGTATCAAGAGAAGGCGGACCTCTTTGCTGAACACTTTGCTAACCAAAAAGCAAGTTCCTGATCCACAAGGGGCCCACCTTGGCTAGCTGCAAGAACGGTCAAAACTGTCAGTGGGGCAATAAGGCAGGAGAAGTGCATTTCCCCTTTTTAAATCGCTTTACCAAGAAAAGGGTGTGGGCCCCCGGGATGTTTAGCCCAAGATTGCAGAATGTGCAGACCAGCTAGCAGCACCCCTAACCGCATCTATCACACTGCCTAGTACAGTGTAAATGGCCCCTCAAAGGAAAAAAGGGAAATTTAGTCCCTTTTCACAAAAAGAAGAGCAACAGAAATCACAACTACAGACCAGTTCACTCTTGTCAATTTACGGTAAGAGCCTGAACAATAATCCAAGACAAATGAAAAAGTTTTTTGACTATCACACTTGTGATCGTCAATATGGGTTCAGGAAAGGTTTTCCTGCTGCTGACGTTGTTAAACCCTCCCACTAAGTGGCACCAGTCACTGGATGAATCCAAAGTCAGCTGTGTGGTAGCACTGGACATTGCTGGCGCTTTGGACTGGGTGTGGCACCAGGGCCTCTTAGCAAAACTTCAAGCACTGGGAATTGCAGGCTCTACGCTATGTCTCCTCAGTGATTACCTTCATGGTAGATCTCTAAGTGTAGTTCTCAATGGAACGGAATCAGCAAGACATCCTATTGGGGCAAGTGTTTCACAAGGAAGCATGCTGGGACCATTGTTATGGAACATCTACTTCAACAATCTTCATCTCATCCCAGAATCACATGCATATGCAGACGACTGTACACTGACATTCACTTATCCAAGAGAAGAAATGCCAGCTGCTCTAAGCTACATCAATCACCAGCTGAGAGCTACCTGGAGGTTACCTGGAGGTTTATTCCGGGGATCAACGCCCCCGCAGCCCAGTCCATGACCAGGCCTCCCGATGGATCAGGGCCTGATCAACTAGGCTGTTACTGCTGGCCGCACGCAGTCCAACGTACGAGCCACAGCCCGGCTGATCCGGCACTGACTTTAGGTATCTGTCCAGCTCTCTCTTGATCAGATGAACCCCAACTCCCACCAACAGAAACAGCAAACAGACTCAATGATTTCTTCTCCACAATAGGACAAAACCTTGCCAATAAAATCCCAAGCTCAGATACCCCACCAAATGACTACCTCACCGGCAACTACCCGAACACACTGTTCCTAGCTCCGACTAACCCATACGAAGTCTCCCTTATTATCAACGCACTAAAAAACAAGGCAGGAGATTTAAATACCTTACCACCCTTTATATACAAAAAAGTGTCACAAGTGCTATCACCAATCATTGCAACACTCTTTAACAAATCCATTGAATCCTCCACCTTCCCTACAGTACTCAAAATAGCAAGGGTCACCCCGATCCACAAGGAGAGACCAACAGAGTTGAATAACTATAGGCCAATATCCAACTTACACCCTCTCTCAAAAATCTTCGAAAATTAATTCATAAACGAATCTACTCCTACCTTATCTCCCAAAACATACTCAACCCCTGCCAATTTGGATTCAGGCCTAATAAAAATACTAATGATGCTATTATACACATGCTAGAACATATATACACTGCAATAGAGAAAAAAGAAGTCCCACTGGGGATCTTCATTGACTTACGTAAAGCTTTTGATACAGTTGACCATGACTTGCTCCACGTAAAATTATCACACTATGGTATAAGAGGGCACTCCCTCAACACCTCAAGTCATACCTCAGCAACAGAAGCCAATATGTGTACGCAAATGGGGCAAACTCTTCTGCACAACCAATTACAGTTGGTGTCCCACAGGGAAGTGTCCTTGGCCCTCTTCTCTTTCTCCTATACATAAATGACCTACCAAATGCTTCTCAATTACTCAAACCCACACTATTTGCTGATGACACAACATACGTCTTCTCCCACCCGAGCCCAGTCACGCTAGCCAATACTGTAAATACCGAATTACAGAAAATATCTACCTGGATGAGTACTAACAAACTTACACTAAACATTGACAAAACCTACTTCATTCAGTTTGGTAACAGAGCTACAGATGTCCCTCTTAACATAATGATAAACGGATCACCTATCACAAAGCTAACAGAGGGAAAATTCTTAGGAATCCACCTTGATAATAGACTCAAATTTCATACACATATACAACAAATTTCTAAGAAAATTTCCAAGACTGTAGGCATACTATCGAAGATACGGTACTATGCTCCACAGTCAGCCCTCCTGGCCCTATATCACTCTCTTATTTACCCCTATCTCACCTATGGAATTTGTGCATGGGGCTCAACAACAAGTAACCATCTCAGACCACTAATTACCCAACAAAAGGCTGCAGTTAGAATGATAACAAATTCTCACTACAGGCAGCACACTCCACCAATATTCAATACACTTAACCTACTCACCATACAAAACATCCATACTTATTACTGCACCTATTACATACATAGAACACTCAACTCTGATATTAACCCTCCCCTCAAACATCTCCTTGCCAACCTCAACAGAACACATGACCATAACACAAGGCACAGATCACTCTTTGATATTCCTCGTGTCCATCTCACGCTATGCAAAAACTCAATGCACATAAAAGGCCCTAAAAATCTGGAATTCATTACCTGTAAATATAAAAGAAACACTACCTGTTTATAAATTCAAGTCTCTTCTCAAAGATCACTTACTCACCCAAAACCAAATAAATACTGAATAACTGAACCTTATAAATTGTATATCTTAAATGTTTCTCACAATTATATCACATAAATGTTAAACCTAAAACCCAATCTAACTTTATTATTTTTTAAATTCACTACCTAACAGAATACTCCATTCTACTGAATTTACAACAATGCATGCAACCATATGACCTGTCTTTGTAATACTCACTTGTGCTTTATAGTAATCAGTTTACATTAATGTTTTTCACTGATTTCATCATTGCTTAGTTAATCTTAAGTTAATTTTAAGCCAGCCCGTAATGCTATGCATAGTATAAGTGGCTTTGGCATGCTGCTCTTATCTGTATTTTTTTTTTGTACCTCTGTAAGTGTGCTCAAATTATAAATAAATAAATAAAAAATAAATAAA